AGCGGTTCTCAGCCGGAGTTCAAGCACCCCTCACAATCCAGGACACTCACTGCTGTAACCGCGTGAGTGGGGTGGTCAGAAAGAAACTGGACAGCTGAAAACCATATGATTCTTAGCATGGAGATGAAAACTAACTATTGTAGGCACTGGCTTTATCTCAGGAGAAAATGCCAGCATGGGGGCCAGCAGGTGGCATGGTGACTAAGGTGCTGGACTCCCACAGGACCGACTGCAGTGCGAGCCCCGGACACGGCAGACTGGAAACCACACGGGTGCATGTACATGTGTGCCCGAGGACCCAGAGGACAATGAGAAGGCATTGCAGCGTGGCCTCCCTGCCTCCAGGGTGGTTTCTCACTTTCCCTCTGTCTGGCCGGCACGCACACCCTACGGCAAAAACCTAAACAAACAAAAAAACAGAAAGAAAGACCGACAGACAGACAGAGAGAAAGGAAGCGACGGCATGTAAGTGCAATGCAGGGGCGCTCCTGCTAGAACGGAGTCACTGCAGTGGCGTGAACGAGCGACTCCCTGCTCTGTCAGGCCGACGTAATGGACAACGCAAGGCCGTCTACCCTCGCCGAGTATAGCTTATGCTCCTGCTAACATTTCTGCTCGTTATGGATGAAATCATAAAATCCCCTAAGCCGTCAGCATCTGTGAACAGTTCACCCTCCTTCTCAGAGAAGGCCACCAGGGAGCCAGGAGTCCAGTCGAGCACTGCCCAGTTCCAGTTCCCGCCTGCTGCCTGAACACGACTACTAACTCAAAGCAAAGCTGGGCACAGAACTAGATGTTCGAGTTTGAGTTTCCCGAAAGGTCCTGGGGAAAGCGTTTGTGTGGGCACAGTGGTGGTGGCCCGTGGGTTTTCCTCAAACCTCCTTTCAGGCCGACCCTCTGCCCCCTGGGAGACCTCCATGGGACCAAAGAGAGACAAGGCAGTGGCCACAGCCCCACAGCTGTGACTGGACACAGCGGAGAAGCCAACCAACGGGAGGTGAAGAGGTGGTGGGGCCAGGGACACCAAACTCCGCAGGGAGTCCCTCCCTGGGTGGCCGGTGTCCGGTGCAGCCCGAGTGCCCACCGCGTACGTAAGCTGCCCGCAGAGGATGGTATGCCAACGCGTGCAGACGCCGGGCGAGCAGTGGCAATGCTGTACCGGCTTTTTAATTTGTATTCGTTTTGATTGTAGTACTGCTATTGTTATTGTTTTTAATTGCCAGAGGCCACAAGTGCTTGCCTAAGAGAGACAGAGAGTAGAGAGCGTGAGGGAGAAGCACGGCCTGGCGGGGCGTGGCCGTACCACAGTCCCTTCACCTCCATGTCTGTCGGTCAGGACTGGGGAGGTGCACACCCTGCCTGGGGCTTCTCGAGCCACCGGGCTGGGATCGGCTCCCTGAACCACGAGGCCATGAGGCTGGCCCTGATTGTGGGGTTTTACTGTTGTTTTCCTGAATATTTTCAACCCGAGATGACTTGAGTCCACAGATGCGGAACTCATGCACGCCTGGGCCCACTGTGCCTGGCCAGAACACGCGTGGGTTGGCTGCTGCGGGAGACCGGGTGGGCAGGACGACACCTGTCAGTGTCGGCGATCCAGCCCCATCTCCTGTTCTCTCGGGGACCCGAGTCTTTCTACGGACATGAGTTTAACCCCTAGGCCACACCCGCAGTGACACCGGTTACCCAAGTATCACAGGAGGGGAAGTCACCGAGTCCTGGTCCAGTGACCCTGGGGGCGGGGACGGCAGGCCAGGAGGGGGCCGCGCAGCCTCCGTGCACACGTGCAAGAATCAGGTGCATGGCGCCACCAGGGTGCAAGGTCCGGCGCAGGGGCGACCGCCGTGGGGTGGCGCACTTACTTGCAGGCGTAGCTGCCCAGCACCGCGATGTACCTGCACACGCCGCCGTGGAGGCAGTACCCCTCATATTCCGGGGGACACTCGGGGTAGCTACTTCTGACGGGGTGGCGGCCGTCTTCCCGGAGGCCGGAGGGCGGCGTAGAATCTAGAAGGACCAAAGATTGACTTTATTTCCTCTGGCAGGACCGTCTCGGGGACAGAGGACAGCATGCACTGCAGCCAGCGCTCACTTTCCCAGCCAGACCCTCGGCCTCCCTGCCTGCCACCAACCGCTCTGCCCTGCCTCGGTTTGTGTTCTGAGTCGTGAGAGGGAGGGTGTGACGCCTGCCAGAAAGAGCGAGCAGGAGAGCGAGCAAGTGCCCATGGGTGTGGTCACGCCGCACCCCTTCTGCATGTCTCCATGGTGGGGACTCAGGGCACGCAGGTGCATGCCCGCCATGTTTCTCCAGCCTCAGGGACAGGGATTCCAACAGCGGTCAGCATCTGGGATGCAGCTCCCTGTGCACAGGGCTTACCTGCCACGCGACAGGCTGGCCTGGCCGTTCTTCCGCCTCTCTGAGCAGTCCGCTGTAGGGCGCATGGGAGGCAGTGAGAGAGCGGCCCAGCCTACACCTGCCTATGACTTCAGAGTCGCCGGTCGCCTCACAAAGGCAAGTCGGCCGTCCGCCGTGCGGAGGGACAGCAGAGCACGCGCCGTCCACCGTCCCGGTGCTCATGGCTGGGGGGCCCTCCCAGGAGACCCTCCCTGACCAGCCCCTAGCCACGCCAGCAGGAAATGCTCCCGCGGATGCCAAAGCGGCCAATTCAGTCTCACTGAACGGCTCCTGGTAAGAAGACCTCGGGGTGTCCCTGACTACATAAACCCCCTCACTTCCCTTTCCCTGTAGGCAGAGCGAGTTACTCAAGGAAAAAGGACATGCAAAATCACAGAGACCACGCAGCTGTGGGCCTCTCCTCTCGGGCGTTCTCGGCCTGCAGAGTGACGAGGACTGCTGCAGCCCAGAGGGCGCCGAGGCCCGGGGACTGGCTGTCCCCCTGGATGCGGATGGGAAGAGGCACTGCTGTGTGAGAAGGTTCAGGAAGCTGTGTCTGCCCATGTGAGTGATTAAAGGGATAGCGGAGAGGCCTGGAGCTCCGATCCAGATAGACGAAGACTGGTTTTTAAAGTCATCTCCTAAAAACCCTTGGGAAGGATTCAGTGCAGAGTCCAGACGTCCCCCTCCCGCGCAGGAGGAATCCACATCTGGATGGGAGAGCCCGAGAGCCGCCGAGCGCCACCCTGCCCACCCGAGCCAGCTGGGCTACAAGCAGGGCTGGCCCACATGCCGTCACTGGGAGTGTCGCCCACGCCAGTCTCAGCCTGCCTCCAGCTCGACTGAGCTGGATGGGGTCTAGAACCTGCCGCAAATGCACTTAGAGCCCACCTGGCTGAGCCCAGGCCCTCCTCTCGGGCTAGACCACAGGCCACCTACCAGGGAGATTTCTTCCAGCTCCCGGGGGACTGCCGGCCGGGGAGCAGCGGTGGCCGCCCTCCGCACCTGCACAGCCGGCGGCCTCTTCGCAGCGGTGCACCCCCGGCTGGCACGCCTCAGTATCTGCCAGAAAAGAGGGAGGGGACGTGGGGTGCGGAGCAAGAACGGGGAGCCCCACAGTCTGCAAGGAGAGCCCTCCACCTGCCATCAGCCTGGTGTCCTGAAAGCCGCGAGCGTGTTTGGGCTGGCTGCTCCTGTGACACGGGGCGGGGCTGGGTCCCTGGGCTGCAGGCCGCATGGGGCAGTCAGCCGACAGAACTCGGACTCTGCCTCCTGCTTGGAAGTCAGAGATTGCTCACGACCCAGCAAACACTTAGAAGCTCAGATCTGAAGACCACGCTGACGCGGCAGACAGACATTGCATCCACACTCGTTATGACAGATACATTGTCGCTTTTCTTGACATAAACGTGAACTGTGCAAAGAAGTCGTCACCTTTTTCATCCTTAGGAACGCTCACCCTGACGCCGAGGTCTCTCCTCCCTCTGAGTTTCACATTACTCAAGAACAGCCTAGGGCCAGCCCACGGCCTCACGGTGAAGAGCCCTGGACCCACACAGCCCGCTGCGGCTCAGTGTTCTCCACTGGCAGCTTGGGACCCTCTCTCTGGCTTATGCGTGTGCCTGAAACCCCCACAGGACGGAGGAGCAGGGTGGAAGAGACGGAGGATCGGGGCATCCTCCCTTCCCCTCTCTCTGTCTCTGGCAAGCACACACCCTCTCTGCATTAAAAAGAATAGGGGCCAATTAAATATATATCACATTGAACTGCTAATCTGAAGTGCCCAAAGTGACTCTTTTCAACTGACCTCCTTGGATACTCTCAGGGAACTGTCACCTTGAAAGAACGAGGGCTTTTTCAAACGTCAAAGACATGACCTTGGCCACTCTCGGTAACACTAGAGGACCCGCTTGTGTGCCAGGCGAGACAGAGAGGGGCAGAGGGGACAGCCCGCCATTGCCAGGCCGAGGGCTCCGTGCCGGCCAGACAGGAAGGCCGTGACTACCGCCACGTGTCCGCCCTGGGAAGCGGCAGGTCAGGTCAGAGCGAGAGCCCGGAGTCGCAGGGCAGGCGTCCATGGGAGGGTACCACCTGGCTCTCAGATGCAACAACCGGGGTCTGTCTGCGGCGCCTGGGAGCCGCTCAGTGAGTGCTGGCCTTCCTCCTGACCGGGGACATGTCGGGCCGAGGGTCACGCAGAGCCCGTCCGAGGAAGGCCTGAGTGACCATGCAGACACAGGGGCAGGCAGGATGGGCATCTCCCCACTTTAACCCGAGGGGAGCAGCTGCTGTGTCTCTTATCAGGGCACCCGCCCTCAGGCTGAAAAGGTGTTGGTGTTTTCAGAAGTAGGAAAACACTCAAGGAGCACCGTAAAGCCCTTCGAGACTTTGACAAGCCCTTCGGGGCCCAGCGAGGCTCTGGTAGGCCTTTGCCTGTGCAGCCGTGCAGTATATCGCTAGCAGTAGGGCCAGCCTGCATGGACAGTGTCTGGACCGGAGGGCTGGTGGCTCCGAGCCCCACCCAGCAGACCTGGCGCTCTCCAGGTGGGACACTGGCCCAGCCTCCTGCCGGCCCGGAGGACGGGGCTGCGGCTGACCACACCGCCAGAGTTTACCTGCCTCTCTCTCAGTGCTCATGCACGCTAGCTACCAAGAATTATTTTCTTAAATTTGTTTCAACTGAAAAAATCTACCGGAAGTAAGCTGGCTCAATTTTTTTTCACTTTATTTTCTTTCTTAAATTTTGCCAGAGGGTGCGTGCACTTGCTAGAGAGAGAGACAGAGAGAAAGAGAGAGACAGAGAGACAAAGAGAGAGCACCCAGTACGGGGAATGGGCATGCACACACGCATGCCCAGCATGCTTCTAAGCTGCCAGGTCTGGGACTTGAACTATGCAATCAGCCCTGTGGGATCCAGTCACCTTAACTGCCATGGCACAGGCTGGTCTGGTTCAGATTTCAAAAGGCTTATTGCTTATTTGAAAACCCTCAACCATGTGACATACAAATGGAGCCCTTCTATTTCTGTGTCCCAAACCCCTTCTGACATGTAGCAAGGCGGCCTGTGCACCAGCCTGGCGGAGCCCACTGGGAGAGATTTATTGTCGATTAGCTCGTAATATGCTTCGGACATCCCAGAATACGTATGTGGCCAGGAGTGTGTATTAGTGGGGTCTGTGCAGGGACTTGCAAGCCTCAGTCATGAAACGTGCAAAGAACGCTGGGTGGGTCCCTCCCTGTCATGCCTCCTGAAATGCAAAACGCCCCAGGGGACAGCTGCACGTGAGCCACAGACAAGCTCCCTGGTGTGTGAGTGAACTACGCACATGTACGATCATGCTCCGGAGGCCACCTCCCCCCACTTTCTGGAGTTGGGGGGTCTGGCCTACCACAGCAGGATGTGAACTGTCACCTGTCTACCCCTGGTAAGTCCGCTCCTCCAGCACGGGGTGGGGGGAAGAGGCCTCTGCCTCCCCACAGCTGAGGAAGCCTCAGGCCGTGGGAAGGCGGACCCTAGACCCTGGAGCTGGATCAGCGTCTGCTACCTGAGGGGGCGGCTCTCCAGGGGACACAGGCCTTCCATCTCTGTCTCCCCAGCTCAGAGATGGGAACGCTCAGACTCAGTTTGGTTCTGCTCCCCCCGAAGATGAGCTCTGAAACTGCAGGCCGCTCAGCGGAGGTGAGAGGGACCCAGCTACACAGGACGTTTGGAGTCGCTCGCAGAACTACCTAAATCAGCCTATGATTCGGGGTTTCTGGGCGGCTCGCAAACCCTGAAGCTGCGTCACTAATGAGAAGCCATGGTTACGTGGTCCAAGAAGGAATGGGCTAGCACCAAAGTTTCGTTTGTTTTTTCCTTTGTTTTGTTTTGTTTTGTTTTGTTTTGTTTGCTTTTGTTTTTGCCAAAAAAGCACACACGCTCCCCAGGGAGAGACAGAGGGAGAGGAGAAATCGCCCCGATGTGCAGGGCCCCTTCCCCTCCGTCTCCCCTCCCTCAGGATTTGGGGCCTGCACGCGTGGGTGCCGGTGCGTCTCTCCAGCCACCACGCCCGGGATCAGAGCTGTGCCATCCACAGGTGGGATCCATACCCGAGTCTCGTCCCGAGACGGCTTCTGCCGGGCCTATTTGCCGGGACTGTTACAAAGGCCAGATGAGAATGTGCCTTTTTCTAAAACCCTTTGAAAACTTAAAACAACATGCACAAAAGCAGGTGACCTGAAGAAGAGGACTGCGACGGCCTAGACAAGAGCGCGGCTTCCCTGCCACAGGAGGCTCGGGGTCCTGTTAGGGTTACTCCTCACTCCAAAGTACCCGCCGGAAGGTCGAATGTAGAGAAGAGTGCACGCGGAACTAACTATACCGCACTCCAGGTGTGCCAGGTGTGGGGAAGGGGCAGTGCCAGGTCGTAAGACAGCAGTAGCAGGTAGCCTCACCTGGCCAGAGGTCAAAGAAAGGCTTCCTGGGCAAGAGCCCAAACAAGTGTGTGGGCCTTGGAGGGTCAGAGCCCACAGAGGCCGGAGGACAGCACGGACCTGTCCTAGACCAGCTAGCACAGTGGAAGCAGCCCCAGAGGCCAAGGACAGGGGCCGTGAGCCCCTTCACAGGCTGGCGAGATGTCTAAGGGCCAGTCCATGCAGGGGCCAACAGGCCACCTGAAGAGTTTAGATCTGAGGGGCCAGCCAGAGGTGTAGACGTCCAAAGGGATTTCTGTGACGCTACCCAAGTGGGAAGGCCCTGGGCGTGCCCACAGACCTCCCTGAGTACACAGGCGTGTCCGTGCCCATGGTCTGGGCTGGCTGCGGCTGGGTGGACGGCAGCTTCAAGCCCTGTGAAGGGGCCATCGGCTTACCCCCGCATGCAAGAAATAAATGAATTTTAAAATATTGAGATTTTATTCTCAAATCCTAATGTGGCACTTTCAAACATGTTTTAGCCACAGACATGTCAGTGGCATAAAATCACACTCAGAAATTGAATTAAGACTTCTTAGCCAACCTAGGTAGAATGAAGACAGGCTGGACAGACCGGAGCACAGCCCGGTACACAAAGCTGAGGTTTTGCACCCAAACAACCATTGCCACCTGCTCCACACCAGGCAGAGAACCGTCTCCAGGCACGGAGCCAAACGCCGTCTGTTGCATACGTATTTATAGTCCTTGGCCTCACTGTCATCGCCCCGTTCCCAGCCACGAGCCCGATTTACCATCTAGCATGAGCGTAGCCTGTGAAGCCTTCAGACACTGGTCTTTCGAAATGCGCTCTGTGAACCTCTAGGGGTCCTGGCGGTTCTGAAAGGGCTCCGACCGCTAATATCAACCCACAGGGTGTCACCCCCCAGACTGTGTCATAAGGTGGTGACCTGGCCGCTGGGACTGTCCTCAGCTCAGAGTGGCATCCCATCTCAGCAACATACTCCCCATGTCACTGAGTTTTCCTGCTGGCGCTGTGTCCCAGGACTGCAAATGCCATTGCCGCCATAGCACAGTGCCCGGGACTGCTGAGTTTTCCTGCTGGCGCTGTGTCCCAGGCCTCAAACCCCCTTCCCCGCCATAGCACAGTGCCCGGGACTGCAAATGCCATTGCCGCCGTAGCCCGGTGCCTGGGACTGCAAATGCCATTGCCGCCGTAGCCCGGTGCCCGGGACTGCGCATCTGAGCACAGCAACGGCCCCGCCAGCATTCCAAGAAGCTTTAGTGAAGTCACTAACTTGTATCTTAGTCTCGGTTTTTGCAACTGTAAAACGGTGCATTATCATAATGGTCAAATTAGAATGTATTTAACGTGCCTGGTAAACTCTAAATATTGATACAAGTGTGAATTGTTACTGTTACTAACAATATGCATCTTGCTGTTTATAGTTTTCCAGAATCCACATGGACGAGGTGGACTGAAAGGTCCCTGTACACCTACAGAGGAATGCAGTCCCGGGAAGCTGGGGGAAAGGCTTCCTCACAGGGCGTTTCCAGACTTTGTCTTCGACTCCAGGTACCTTGTTAAAATGTTACTCAGTGATACAAACAGAGCGGTCCAAAGTCGAGCTGATGGAAGGCAGTGACCCGGACTCAAGGCCTGAGCCCCTGGCCTCTCGGGCACACACTGAACAGATGATCTGGAATCTGGTGACGGATGCACAACACGGAAGAAAGTTCTAGTTCTTTCTGCTTATGGACCTCCCACAGCAGTCCGAACAACCCACTGCGTTTGCTTACCTACTCTCAGGGCTCAGAGAGGGTCGGCCAGGCCGCCCTAGGGGCACGCGGGCGGGGACACGCTGGAGTCCACTCTGTCCTGTCCTCACCCGGGTTTCCGAGTTACTTTCCCCAGGAACATGTTGTTCAAAGGCTCTCACCGTGAGCAGGTAGGGCCGGCCTGATGGGGCGCCTTCTCAGGCTGCCGTAGGAGGGGGCCCCGACAACACTCAGGTATGTTCAGTCCAGCCTTGGGGAGACCGAGCCAATGCCCAGGAATCCCGGGGCTGACAATGGCTAGGACCACGATGCGGGACCCCCTTATACTTACCTGGCAGGACCTCAGCCACCAGTGTGCTCCCAGACTTGATGACACTTTCCGGGGACAAGCTGGCCCTGGGTGAGGTGTCCGAGGGTGGCTCCGGGTTCCCTGCAGCAGTGTCGCCACCTGGTGGAGGGTAGCAGCTGTGGTCAGCTAGCCTTTCTGCTCCTCCAGCTGAGCTGTCCGCTGCGAGCTGAGGCTCATCCTCCCAGTAAGAGGATGGGGAAACTGGCAGGGTCGCAGTGACACAGAAACTCCAGCCGGGGGCAGGCAGCGGTGCAACAGCCACCTGGGGAAGGAATCCCCCTCCCCACACGCTGGGCACGTGCCGGTCAGGGCAGCGAGGGCAGCGCGAGGACGCTGTGGGGCCCTCGTCCCCGCCGGCTTTCCACCTGTCTCTCTCAAGACATAAATAAACAGAGCATGCACCCCACTAGCCCACACTGTGCGGTCTCACCCCGTGCACGTGACAGTTTGGGAGCGAGAAGAGACAGCTGCACGCCGCCTAAGGAGCAGTGTCCCTGCGACAATGGCCTCCAGAGGCGAGGCGTGAGGCCCCAGGACACCCCAGCACCCGGTCTGCAGCAGCTGTTCCAGGACACATAACAAACGCTCCCCGACCAGCCGGCACCGACACCAACGCCCCGAGCCCCAGCCACATTCCCAGCAGCCCAAGATCCCTAGAGGAGAAGGGAGAAGGGACTGCAGCGTGGCCATCCCCCCTGGGGGTGATATCTCGCTTTCTGTCTCTCTGTCTCTGTCTTTCTCTCCAAAAAAACAAAAAGAAGAAACGTCCGCTCTGATCCACAGATAATCTGTGACCTACCCTATTCACACACCTCCCAGACAGACGTGACTTTTAAAAGCACTTGACGTCTCAGTTTTCATTGGTTATTTTCAGTAAAGAGCCGGGCAGAGCTGAACCCAAATGCGCCCACGTTTGGACACAGAGCAAAGGAGACGGTGTCATTGGGGCGCAGCACACGCCGCCACCCTGTCATCCTCCCGCTTCACGCTCAGTTGTAAAAATGGGGCTCACAATCCTCGGCCACGCTTCACACCCCACATGACACCCCGAAGTCAGTTTCACAGGGGACATTGGTTTTCACTAAAGCCCCGCCATGCAGTCGGGGGATTATACACCTCTACCTCGAAGACTGGGGACTTGAAGCTTGGAAGTGAGGTGCCTGTCATGGCTGGCAGGCGATCCTGAGGCGGCTTTCTCCAGCGGGATGCACTCAGCGGTGAGTGGGGGAGGGCACGGGGCCCACGCTGAGCGATGGAGGCGTGGGGGTTAGTCTGTAACAGGAGCCCGGCTCTCAGGGCAGGGCGGGCACATGGGCCCGGCACCCACAACCACAGTTGAGATTGGAAAACCACATGGTTTTCCACGCGGGTGCTGGGGTGGACGAGCCTGCCATGAGCCGAGGGAAGTGACTTAGAATGGCTGGGTTACCGGACACCAGATGGCCACTCAGAGCCAGGCACGACCTCCCGTCCGGGGCGGTCACGAAGCCTCCACGACAGGAGCACCGCGCAGCTCCGAAGCTCTCTTGGCAGAAGTGCGCGCAGCCGCCATTCTGGTGTAGGCAGGGGTCTGCCCCTGCGGAGAAGGGGCGCGTCTCAGCGGGTTTGGAGCAGGACGGATGCCATCCATGCAAACCCGTCCACAGCCTTGGGGCAGAGACTCGACCTATCTAAGCAAGAGTGTGTCATGAGCCACTTCCGAAGAGGCCCGCAAGGAGCCCCAACTGGGGCCAAGTCCAGAATGTCGGGCCTGGAGACTTTGCACCAAGTTGCGGGTACTTCGCTGGAGAAGCGTCAGTCCACGGGGACTCCCGTGTCCTGACCCACCTCCCGTGTCCTGACCCATGATCTCACCCACTGGACCACGAGCAACTCCGAGAGGAGCTGGTCCCTCACACCTCGTCCTACCCCCTCTGTGCTCCGGGGGTGGGGAGGCCCCCAAGGGCAGGCAGGAGCTTGCAAGGCCGCGACCCGCTACCCGTGGAGCCTGGAGCCAGAGGGTCTTTCAAACGTAGCAGGTAGGTCAGAGCCGCCAGAGGAGAGTGCCGACTGGAGGGACGCGGGCCAGATGACCCAGCCAGCACTCCTCTTAGTTTAAACAGAGCCACGTGGTAAACGTCTATGCAGACGGGAGAAAGCCGAACACGCCCCACCCGCCCCCGCTCCTCGCGATGGACCAGGTGGCCGGCCAGGGAGAGGCTGGCCTCCGTCTGCATACCTGGCTTTGCCAGAGGGTGGACCACGACCAGCGCCGAGGGCTGCTGCATGCTGCCTCGGAGTCGCACCCTGTCACCACCCGTCCTCTTGTGCACCCTGGTCACCGAGGACGTGGCCCAGTCTGAGAACCACACGTAATCCTCGAACACCGCGACAGCAAAGGGGTGACCTGGAAGGGTTCGAATCCATCAGCCATTCGAATCTGTCTCCATGGCCAGGCAGGGGAGGACCACGCCCGAGGTGTGTGGCCACAGAGCCCGCCCATCCTTGCAGCTGCTCCACGGGGCAGGAGCCCCTGCCCGACACCATGTGGGAGAGAGTCCCACGGCCAGGGGACCAGTCTCAGAACACAGCCTGGGGACTCGTGGCCCCACAGAGCCCAGCCGCCCAGTGCTTGCAGAGCAGAGAACATGGCGACTGTCCCCAGGGCACCAACAGGAACCCGAGCTGGGCGTGAGCGGCTCAGATGGCACTGGGAGGCGGTGCGCTCCCTGCCAGGCTCCTTCTGCACTGGCGGCAACGGGCAGTAGGCCAACTCACGGCTCATCGCAGGGGGTTTTAAAAATCTGAAGTAATCAGGGAAGAGCCTCCCCAAACCCCATCACCACCAACGTCCCCCCTGCGTATCTAATATTAGTCCAAGAACCTGCAGCCTGGGTGCCCCCCATGGCTGTCAGTGCCCCCCATGGCTATAGGCCCCCCATGGCTGTCAGTGCCCCCCACAGCTGTCGGCCCCCCTCTGAGCCCTCGTATCCAAGTTATACTTTCGCATTTACTTGGATGGTTTCCTGTCTTTTATTTTGAAGTTTTATTTTTAAATTCTGTCAGAGGGTGTGTGAGCTTGCTAGAGAAAGCCAGAGAGACAGAAAAAGACAGAAAGTGAGAAGGCATCCCCATGAAGAATGGGCACCCCTCAATCACTTCCCTCCATCTCCCCCTCCTTCCGGGATTTTGGACACTCATGCACACGTGCCCAGTGAGTCTTCCAAGCTGCCAGGTCCAGGACCCGAAGCACACAGTCTGCCATTTGGGATCCGGGCATATGGACCCACCACCACGCCACAGGCTGGCCCTGTATTCTCCTTCAGTGACTAGGCCCGGCTTCACAGGGCCCACGTTCGTTTTACTCTTCACTCTTCTCCACCTCCGGGAATGAGTAGCAAATCCTGGGTCGGCACTGGCAGCTGAAGGCCAGCACCGAGCACAAGGTCTGCGCTCATTCTAATAGCAAACTCATCATCGCAACAATAACAGACGCAACCAAGTCATTCTAAAATCACTCACTCAATCAAAAACAAAAGAGGATTTACGGCTTGAGAAACACCAGGTGCATGTGCATCTGTGCCCAAAATCGCACAAGGAGAGATGGAGGAGGAGCGATTGCGATGACCGTAGCCACGTACCCACGTACCCACGCACCCATGCACCCACGTGAGCTTTCTCGCCTTTGCCCCCCCAAGCGCACAGCTCTCTGGCAAATTCTTTTTTTTTCTTTTCTTTTCTTTCTTTCTTTTTTTGTTTTTGTTTTTGTTTTTATTATCATCATAATCTTCTTTATGTTACATTGGATTACATATAACTTTACAGTGTGTTACATTGTTTTTTCAAAAGGGAATGCCATGCATGTCAGTCAGTACACAGACATTAATCTCCCCACTTCAACATTCAATATCTTTTCTATGTTTTCCCCAATCAGTATTTTTATTATTCTCTCTGGCAAATTCTTAAAAAAGAAAAAGAATTTAGGAAATGTGTAAAATTAAATTACATCAAATTAAGTTGTGCTTAGCTTGGTCTATTTAACGTATAATACTAATCTAGAAATGCGTCACCTCTAAAACCAAAGAGATGGGGCAAAGTAAGTTCATGATGCCAATGGTCTGTTTGTGAGCTTCTTCCTGAGAGGACGAGCCCTGTTCCCGGTCTCCCTGACCAGGCGGTTCTCAGTCTCTGGAACAGCCTCCGCCCCTCCTTGGCCCTCCTCACAGGTCCTCCCAGGTGTGAACCTCCTAATCCTCCATTCCACTTTTAAATGGCAGGGTCTCCTAGGTGGTTGGGAAAGTCGTGATGCGTTTTTCTAAGTTTTTCTACGCAAAAGTGCATCGTGACTTCCCGGAGGGCCGGTAGCTCAGGCCCTGACTAGCCACGAGTGCCTCCTACCTGCCTGACTCCCTCCACACCCCAGTCCCGCCCGCCCGGTTACCAGCAGGTGCCCTGGGATGCTGTCCTACCACCCGCACTCTCTGCTCTAGAACAGCCACTGGCTCCATCCTTGCAGAGCGACAGCGCTCAGCCCACATGCCCAGCACGAGCGTGCAGAACCGGATCCTGCAGCGTCACAGCCTGTCCCGCCTCGCCACCACGCAGACGCCCTCCAGACCTCCCTGAGCCTCACTGCCCCCATGCTGCTCGTAAGCTGGTCACCTGCATCTCCTTTAAATGGCAGAAGTTACACTATCTTGAGGCTATTTATGAGACTGTGTGACACCCCATGCGAAGTCTGGAAATACAGCAGAGGAAACTGTGTTAACGTTTGCAGGTGTTAGGAGTTGGCATTCATTAACACCTGAGTGGGCTATTGTCACTGCTGGAAAATGACACTTTCTCAAACACAAGAAGCTCAAAGCTAGACCCGAAGATTAGAGAAGCTGCACATTTCATTCTGAGGAAGTCTTAAAAAGGAGAGTGATTACCCAGCGCTGTGTGTGTCCACTACTCCAGGGTCAGCGCCGTCCTCACAGCCAGCAACTCCCAGAGGGGCTGCCCGGGCTGTTCCTTCTGTGCCACACGGTTAAAAGTGTGTGTGTGGGTGTGTGTGTGTGTGTGAGTGTGTCGGTATGTGTCAGTGTGTGCATTGTGTGAATGTGTCAGTGCGTGTGTCAGTGTGTGTGTATTGTGTGAATATGTGTGTCAGTATGTGTGTGAGTGCATGTGTGTGAGTGCATGTGTGTGAGTGTGTGTCAGTGTGTGTGTCCGTGTGTGCATTGTGTGAATGTGTGTGTCAGTATGTGTGTGAGTGCATGTGTGTGTGTGTGCATTGTGTGAATGTGTGTGTGTCAGTGTGTGTGTCAATGTGTGTGTATTGCGTGAATATGTGTGTCGGTATGTGTGTGTGAGTGCATGTGTGTGAGTGTGTGTGTCTGTGTGTATTGTGTGAATGTGTGTCAATGTGTGAGTGTGTGTGTCAGTATATGTGTGCATGAGTGTGTGTGAGCTTGTGTCAGTGTGTGAGTGCGTGTGTGTGTGTGTCCGTGTCTGAGTCCGTGTGTGAGTGTGTGAGTGTGTGTGTCAGTGTGTGAGTGTGTGTGAGTGCATGTGTGTGCGTGTGTGTCCGTGTGTGTGTCCGTGTATGTATTGTGTGAATGTGTCGGTGTGTGTCAGTATGTGAGTGTGTGTGTGTGTGTGCGTGTGTGTGTCCGTGTATGTATTGTGTGAATGTGTGTGTCAGTGTGTGTCAGTATGTGAGTGTGTGTGAGTGTGTGTGTGTGTGTGTGCGTGTGTGAGTGTGCGCTGTACGGCCCTCATCAGCCCAGCCAAAACGACGGCAGCACGTCTGTAGCCTCACCTGCGTGGATCCGGGCCAGGGTCCGGCGCTGGGAGCCGTCCAGGTTGGCGGCTTCGACCACAGACCTGCCGGCGTCGCACCAGTACAGCTGGTGGGTCAGGAGGTCGATGGCGATCCCGCCGGGCTGGGCCAGGCCGGAGCTGGCGATCACCGCCCGGCCGAAGCCTTGCAGGGAACAGCTTTCGATTCGTGGCTTAGGCCCTGAGTCGGTCCAGAACAATCTCCTTCAAAGGAGGAAGCACACGACTAGTAAGCTGTGCGCACGCCCACACGCCCTCCCGCTCCCGCGCAGACACGCCCGCACACACTGCATTACTCCAGGAGAGGCAGCGTGTGCCGAGGAGAGCAGGGTGACGTGGGTGACGTGCACGCGGCGACGTGGCAGGAGGGCAGGGCCCGGTGCTGCGGTTCCCGGCACGCCCGCCCTCCCAGTGGCTCATCCGAAGCCCACAGCCCACCACTGGCACGCTTTGTGAGGTCAGCCCGGCACGTCCTTCCTCTGACCCACTCAGAGATGGCCACCGTCCCGTTCAGATCCCCCGTCGTGCTGCTGGCTCCGCATGGATGACCAACGACTACCCGTATGTTCTCCCCCGCAGGCCGCCACGAATAAAGTAAGGCTGGTGTTTGCCTTTGCTTATTATCAACCAGGAAGGAGTCTGTGTTCTTAATCCTGCAACCCTAAACCAAAGTGTCACCAACTCCTAATTAATAAGGTCTTCTCATGGCTCCCAATTTCTCCTTCCTCTTATGTAAACTCATACAATTATTTTTCTAAATACAATCTGAGTCTTACTGTCCGAATATTCTTCTCTGCTCAATAAACTACAACGCTGATTGTTGAAGAAAATGAGGAGCTTAAACCTAACTGCGAATGGCAGGGACGTTAGCACTCGAGAATGGGGCATGGCAGGACTTTGTAAACGAGGCGTGCGAGCCGGCCACACCACTCCTGAGGACCCGAGCAGACCACCCGACTGCTTCGGGGTCCAGCCCACAGAGCACCGGAGGGCGTGAGGGAAACCCTGTGCCTCAGTCCTGGCGCCCTCCTGCTCCCCAGAGAGGCGCGAGTTCTCCCCGACACCTACTTGGCCACTGGGTGCACGGCGATGCCTCGCGGCTGAGAGACGCGGTCCTGGACCAGCACTCTGCGGTGCTTTCCGTTCAGGTCACTCCCTTCGAGGCGCGCATTCCTGGAGCGTGCGATAGAGGGCCATGAGGCAGTGGGTGGCAGAGAGGCACCCCGCTCCCTGGCCTGAGGGGTACAGACGGGCACCTGAACCGCCTCCACCTCTGCTTCACACACTCGCACACACACTCGTACACACACTCCCACACCTACACACTGGTATACACACACTTATACGCACACATTCGTATACACACACACGAGTGTGTGTGAGTGCGTACACACACACACTCGTACACACACACACTTGTACACACATGCACAAACACACACTCGTAAACATACACACTAGCACACCTTCACACACACGTACACACACATGTGCACACTCATAAACAAACACTTGTAAACACAGGCTCACACTTGTACACACGCGCGCACATGTACACACATGTACACACTCGTGCACATACATGCACTCATACACTCATACACATACACTTGCACACACTTGTACACACATTTGTACATATCTACAAACATGCACACACACTTGTACACATACACACTTGCACACATGCACGAACACACATGCACGCACATACACACAGTGGTAAACACATACTTGTACACACATACATTCACACTTATACATATACACACTCGAGTGGTAAACACATACTTGTACACACATACACACACACTTATACATATACACACTCATATACACACATGCACACACATGTACACACACTAGTACAGGTACACACTCGCACACAAGCACTTGTACACACACTCGTGCACACTCATACACACTCACATGCACACATACACACGTATGCTCACTCGTAGACACATACATACACACTCACGCACACTCGTACACATACACACTCGTACACTCGTGCACGTGTACACACATATGCACACATGCGTACACATACACACACAAATCAGCATCGAGGCCACAGATTCTTTTTTTTTTAGTTCTCTGGTCAAACTGAAATAAATAAATGAATAAATAAAGTTAAATAAAATAATTTTAAAAAAAAGAGAGAAACACTTTCAAAAGTAGAAGTTGAAGGCAACGATTAAGATTTCAGGTAAAATTGTTTAATAAATAGAAGCAATCCAGCAAAGATTACAAAAAACACTAGCATATCTAATTATATGGAAGATATAAGAATATTCTTAATTCTTTAAAAAGTTAAAGTCTTATTTGTACCTGTTTTGAGATCAGTTTTCTAAAGGAGGAGGTGGCACAGGAATGCAGCAGAGTTCAAGTGCGGAATTCATTTGTTGAGGATTAAATATTTTCCAACTGTACAAAAAATGAAATGAAAAACTGTGAAATATTGAGATAATATTCTCAAGAATGTAAAACAGAACTTTTCTATGACTTTAACTTCTGAAATGTTACAATGATTTCTCTGTTTCTGTCTCTCCCTCCCTCTCTTTCTCTCTCTCTCTCTCACACACACACTCGTACACACACACACTTGTACACACATGCACAAACACACACTCGTAAACATACACACTAGCACACCTTCACACACACGTACACACACATGTGCACACTCATAAACAAACACTTGTAAACACAGGCTCACACTTGTACACACGCGCGCACATGTACACACATGTACACACTCGTGCACATACATGCACTCATACACTCATACACATACACTTGCACACACTTGTACACACATTTGTACATATCTACAAACATGCACACACACTTGTACACATACACACTTGCACACATGCACGAACACACATGCACGCACATACACACAGTGGTAAACACATACTTGTACACACATACATTCACACTTATACATATACACACTCGTATACACACATGTACACACATGTACACACACTAGTACAGGTACACACTCGCACACAAGCACTTGTACACACACTCGTGCACACTCATACACACTCACATGCACACATACACACGTATGCTCACTCGTAGACACATACATACACACTCACGCACACTCGTACACATACACACTCGTACACTCGTGCACGTGTACACACATATGCACACATGCGTACACATACACACACAAATCAGCATCGAGGCCACAGATTCTTTTTTTTTTAGTCTGTCAGAGGAGTGTACTTGCCAGAGAGACGCAGAGAGAGGGAGGAGTGAAAGCACACCCGAAGGGCATGGTCGCCCGCAACCTCTTCTCCTTTACTCTCCACCCCACTGGAACTTGGGGCACCCAGGCCCCTGTGCCCAGTGAGTTTTCGAGTCACTGGAGCTGGGACTCGAACTGTGGTCGACATGTGGAATCTGATCCTTTTGACCATTAGACCATGGGGCTTGCCCAATTCAATTTTTTTTAACAGTCTTTTCATTAGCATCAGTAGCTACCCCAGGCAGTAAGAACTCCCGGCATCGGGGTAAGAGGGAGGGCCCGTGTGAAGGCTGGGGCGGCCCATCTGCTTCTCCTCAGCCTCAACCTCTGGTGGAAGCCAGAGGCCGGGGTGCAGTCAGCCCAAGGGTCGAGACCACAGGCAGAGGGACAGCACACCTGAAAGGCCACAGGGAGAGCCAGCACAGGGCAGCCGGGGATTCACGCCGGCTCGGTTGTCCCCACCGGGACTGGGGCAGACAGTGGCCCTGAGCTCTCTGCATCTCTGCACTTCATCTGTTTCTCCCGTTTATTTGTTGAAGGAATCTTTATGATCAAATATTCACCGAGCATCTTCCGTGTGCCAGGCACTGGCCTAAACTTCAGAAATGCAGAGGACGAGCCCAGCCCATCCTTCCAGAACTCAGGGTTCAG